ATACATATCATTATGTTCAACAATGACGGCACTACGGTAGTATTCGTAGATATTATTATACACAATACGATTATTATTATTTCTATTATTATTATTATTATTATATTATGATGTTTGCCGGAACAAACGAAAAAGGGAATAGTGTGGGTCGGAGATAGAGGGAGAGAGAATGATGAGACAGACGTCTTAGTGTTGTCGTAATAATGACAAATAGCTCGTTCACATACATATAAAATAATAATAATAATATTATTATACACGTATCTTATTCGGTATCCATTGTTATCAGAATGCCATGTATGTGTGTGTGTGTGTGTGTGTGTGTGTGTGTTGGCCACCGCCGGCGTGTGATAACCTATACTAGCCACCTGATTTACCTGTCATAATTTTTAATGAGGTTATACACGGTATGTGACTTAATTTGAAAAGGGTAGTACGTGCACGGTGTGATTGTCAAGGTTGGTTAACTCGTGTGATTGTGACTATACCTATACCTTAAGCGACGCGGCCGCGCGCGCGCGCGGAGGGCTACCGCAACGCATGGGATGGTGTTGTTGTATTATAATATATATTAAGGATAATGATATTTATTATGACGTATCGCGTATGTAGACACATACAAATATGATATTACAATGAAGGAGGTGTGATGGAAACCATTTTCGAGTTTCTGTCTTGTTCGGTCCTGCTCTTATTTGACCAATATTTCATTACTCGCATCGTCGCATCGGATCAAGTCTGTACATTTTAGAAGTTGTTAAATATCTAAGTGATTATTCTTACACCGGAGAACAAGACAACGACCGTTCAATCTATTACTATTACTCTATGACCTATTAACAAAATGTAAGAATTAAAAAAAAAAAAAAAAAAATGATTTTATAGTTTTGCAAAATTTGGAATTTAAACGTGTCGTTTTTAAATTATCTTGCTAAATTTAACCGGTTTACTAATTACCATACAAGTATACAACACATTCTTTTTGAATCTGGACTTGCCTAATTTTGTTATTAAGTTATATTAATAACTTTGTAGTACTGAATTGTAATTAGACATTATCAATTATTGATGGTTTAAAGTATAAGCACAGACTATAGCTAATGATTATACACTCTTTATAAAGCTTTTTGAATAATTTTATAAGTTCCCCACACAAGGAATTATTTGATATGGTTAATGACAGGAGGTTTATTAGTTATAGTATTGTTTAAGGATGTTAATTTATAGGAGTTTTTATGGTATTATATAATAATATACATTATACATATATTTATGACGCATAATATTATATATTTTAGCGTTTTATTTAACATATAGTCAGGATTTATAGTAATATTCAACGTTAGATTTAGTGTAAGATGAGGTATGTTGCTATTTATTTTTCTACAAATTATTTTTTTGATTTAAAACCTAACCTAACCTAACAATGTGCTCATAATTATTTGACTTGGAAGAGCGTTGCTTATAATCATTTTTAAAGGTTGATAATTTATTATTATTTTAAAGTTTAAAATGTATGATAATAATACATAACCAGACTACGTTAAAGCGATACGAGTGACTAACATACAATTTCTATATTTTCTAAAGAATTTTTTAATAATATGGCTCTTAAAAATTCTTTTGTCAAAAGTATGAAAGAAATAAATTGGAAAAGTTTTAGTTCCAGAGTTATTTATGATCATTAAGACATTAAGTAAAATTAATGCAATTTACATTGTTCTAATTTTTTCTATATAATGATTAAAAACTCGATAGTTGATAAAATATATGGGTCAAGAATACGATTAATTGGCATATCGTTACTCAACATAGTATGTACAGAAACAGCTGTTTTATAGTTAACTGTTGGGCGTATAGAAGTTTTTCATCACTTCGAACATTTTACTCAAGTACGCCTGTGTTATAAATCACTATTAATAGGAATCAACTCGTGACATATAAAGGTCGAAATTTATCGCACAAACACGCGACGTAAAGGTATATTAAAATATATTTATTTGTCCGGCATTTATATATTGGTATAAGTATTTAGTTTTAAGATTTTTTTTTTCGATATTTCGTCTTGAAAATTTATATTGGCGCACTCGCGGTAAAATGTATTATACATCAATATAGCTACCTATATAAACCGCAAGAATAATGCGTATAAAGTATTAGGTTTATATAGTTTGATGGTTTTTTTTTCTTTTAGAACCGTCCGGACAGGAAATGGAAAAGGTTATTACTCATTACTGATCAGTATTGGTCATACACGTATAGAGAGAACACTGTGTATATAGATGTATCAGTAATATATAGTATATAATAACGAAAGCAATAGCCCAGACCAGGGGCGAATTATGTGCTGTAATCATTTATAACCTACGAAGTATATTATGTAGGTATAGTGACGAACGGACTACAGCGTAAACGGACATCGAAGTCGACGGTAGCGGCGACGACACAATACGATATATTATTATTATTATTATTATACGGTGTACAGTCGAAACGCGCGAGGAAAAGGAGGAACGATATATATATATATATAAAAAAAATAAAAAAAAAAAAAAAATAATAATAATAACAACAAAAAATAGAATATCTCGTAGCAATCGAACACAATCTGTGTGTGTCGATATAATATAATTTAATAATAATAATAAACAGGGTGTGATGATGGTAATGATAATGACGAATCGGATCTGTTCGGGTTAATTTCCGTGTGCCGGAACGAAACGTGACGGACCACCCACCGGTGCGTAACGACACGACGACGACGACGGCGGCGGCGGCGGCGGCGGAAGAGGCTGCGGAAAAAAAAATCGCCAGTCCACCGACATCGCTACGCCCATGGTTGGGACGTTGGTCATTATTATCGTCGTTTATTACTATATATATATATAAATACATATATGGCTAGATGTCAGTTTATATATATATATATATATATATATATATATCATATTATTATACACGTCGTGTGTGCGATTTTTTCTCGCCCGTCGTCGTCGCCGTTGACAGTCGTGGGAATGCAAATTTTTCCCGTCCGCGCGCCCGTGTCCAATCGCACACGTTTCTCGACGGCGTATTCATATTTGTCGTAACATCCTCCGTCTAAGCGTTTGTCTACGTCATTGTCTACAACAAGTGCCTATACAATGTATGATAATAATATCATTATTATTAGTTATCATATACCCATCTGTTTCATAAGCGTTAACCGTGGCCGCCGAAGACGCTATATCGATGCCCTGCGCCGCGTGATGTTTAATTTCTACACGTCTCGAATGCACTCTGTGTGCTCTGTGAGGTTAAGTTTATCGTCGTTTTTCTGACTTTTTTCCATCGAAATTTGGTCGTCTAGAAACCGTCTGCAAGCCATTTGAGTAACGAGTTCTGCGCACATTTCAATTAATTGCTAATACAAAATGGGTACCTATATATGCTTTAACGATAGTAACGTACTATCTATATAATTGAAAACGTATTTGTTTCAATACGCTTCGCTCACATCTGTTGTTGTTGTGTATACTCGTGGAGTGTGGAACTAACACACGACATACAATAAAAGAATCTGTGGATATATACGTATATGTGACATTTTCGATATCGACAATGCCTGTTGTCGTCGAATCGAACAAGAGGAGTTTTTTTACGAACTTCAACGCTTTTGAATTCTTATTCTGACTTTGAGTGTCATTCGTGAATTAATTGCCACTGTGCAGTGAACGTCATGTTTGATTAGGGAACTAAGAACGTAATGTCTTATTGTATTTTTTTAACGAGATTTAATAAGTTTTAAACAAGCCATGAATGTAATTTCTACCTATGGACTTATGTATAGGTACGTTTGATCAATTGTTGTGGATTTGCTTGCATATATACTACATACAAACAGGTGTAAGGTGTTATATTATTTAATTTGAATATTGCATCACCTGCTCGTGAAATCGAGTAACGCCCTAGACTTTAAGATGACTGACGACAAAACATACATGATTAGTAATTACATTTTTTCATGTACTTACTAAAGCATGCGTTCCAATTACATATGATTTGCATCAGATGCAGTACCTATTCTAGACTACTATATGGGTATCTCCCAATGGAAGTACTTCGTCAGGACAGTAGTCAGACTATATATTACACATTTATTAAACAAAAAAAAATAAATATATTTTTTTTTTTTATGTATTTTAATGTAAACTATTATATCTATTTGGATATGTCGTGCTCTAATAAGTAAAAAATACAAACAATACTTATCGGGTATCATACTTAAATATTCATTCAAAATATGTAAAGTGCTTGAACTATTTAAATTTTCAGTAAATAATAACATATATAAATCACTTAGTTAAAAGATCGTGTGTTAATGTTTAAATTTTTCTAATTAAATTATCTAAAAATGTACTTAAACTACACGTTTAAATTAATGTTTAGATTTATTATTTAACATGTTATTATAATAAATATATAAATTATAAGTAAATAAAAGTAAAAATTATGATTTATTTTCAAGTAGGTATTTTAATTTTCTATATTCTCCGTAATTAAGTGTTTATAAATAATGTATAACATTTTCATTTCTATGGACCGAATCGTTAATTAACAAAATGATACAATGTTCATAAATTATATTATTTTAGAAAAAAGAAAAATATATTTTTTACTTAATTATTTTCAGAGAAATAATTACTGTTGTTATTAATTGTTGTGTAATTTAATTATTATATTATATTCACGAATTTATTATTTGGGCTAATTGCTTGTAACTAAATAATTCATAAGGCTGTAGCCATGTAGGTTACGTTTTAATTTTCTTGAGTTGACTCTTAGTATGAGCCTTTTAAAAACGGTTCTATTATAAACCTTGATAAACACTATACGAATTTTATAAATGCATATTTCAATTTTTTTTGTTATAATAAATATATTATAGACAATCATAATATTGTGGATAAATTTAATCTATTACGTTTCATTGGTTATAAAATTATGTTTGTTGTTCACAGGTTTGTTGGAAACGTAATACATTAAGGATCACGTTGAACTTTTTTGGATACTCATACCATATGATCAATACGTTCAAATGGTGATATGTTGAACTGCCTTCAACGTGTTTGTTCAACAAACGATTTGTTTGACTGTTAAAACTTTTAATAATATGAGTTTTTTTTTCAGCACTTTAGTACGTTGTTGAGAATTGTTCGTTTTCCGCTTATTACTACTATTTGCAGTTCAGCTATGAAAGCACACTCGTTCTTATCACGAACTTACATCGCCTTAAACCATAAATAATCAAGTTATGTGTATATACTTTTACTAGTCTTAATGTATATTCTGTTATTATATCGTTATTTAAAAACATATTGCCGATTAGTGTTTCAGGTAAAAAATAACAGCTGCACGTACAGTCAAGACGAAAACGATGTTGTCATATTGATATGAGTTTAAAATTCAGAACTTTTGTCATTATGAGCACCTATAATACAGGAGTATCATGTGATTATAAAACAACGTCTTAACGTTTTGCGGATAAGTCCGATATAAGACGAGTCTAACCCAATTAACATTATATTATATAAATATATTGTATTGTTAAAACAAAAAACAATAATAAAATATTATATAAAAGAACCATTGTTTGTCAGTACACGTCTCTGCAACCGTTTTTATTACTATTGTAACAACTCGGGCCATATAATAATAATAGTTATAATATTCACACAAATACCATAATACAGTCATTTTATGGATACGAATGGGAGAGAACTGCGTGTATAATAATACAAAATACAATGTGATAAAATATTATGCGGCGATGGGGTTAGCCGGTTAGGTATCGTATGGGAGGAGAGCCACGTTGCAAAAACTTAAAAATAAAAAAAAGTCGGCTATGGTGGGCCAATCGAAAAGCAATCCCGTCTCCGGTGGCAAAAGAAACGTGTACATATATTGGCTATCGGGTGCTCAAGGAGAGGGTAGTGGAGGTTATATTGCCGTCCGATAAAAAGGAAACTCCTCTTTATTCCCGGGTGTGGTGGAAAGAAAAAAAAAAACGAAAAACGAAAAAAGGAGAAAGAAAGTGTGAGCGGGCTGGCGGGGGGGCGGGCGGGCGGGCAGGCGTTAGGTGGGGAGAAAATAGAAAGAATATAAGGAAAGGATAAAGGACCGTTTTCCATCCCGAGATTTCGTCCCGGACGCAAAATAATGTATACGACGACGACGACCACCACCACCATCACCACCACACCGTACATAATATACGTATATATATGTATACGTATACACATATATATTATATACATACATTCGGGCGCGGATTGTAAATGCGCGAGCTTTACACATGATTGCGTCCGAACGGTTACCAACGGCAACGGTCCCCGCGCCGCAGCATCCGATATCGTCTCCGCGCCGATATATCTCTCCCCCCCCGCGTCCGTCACTCGCGTGTACTACCGCCGCCGCCGCCGTGGGATTTTAATACAACCGACTTTCATTGCGGTAAAAATAATGCTGTCCTCTCCACCGGCCGGAGGGAGGGCGAGCGGCGGTCGCGTGCAAGCGCAGTCCGCCGCCACTCTCCGCGGTCCGGATTGCACCACCCCGCGCTGCGCCTCCCCTCCGTAGGCGACTTCCACTCCCAAAAGCGACCCGAAAAGCACCCTTTTTCGCGAAATCGTAGGCAATAATCAATAATTATACATACGTATAAATGTGTGCGTGTGTGTGTACTGGCCGACACACACGCACACAGTCTAAAAACGGACTGTACACACACGGTGTGTATGTGTATGTGTGTGTGTGTGAGTTTTGCGTATATATATATACATACATGATATGAATGTACAGGGCCCTCGTTTCGAATTCGCCACTTCTCTCCTCCCCTCTTTTACCCAAGTCTCGAAGGATTCGGCCGACGATTAGCTAGCCGGCAACGGACTCGGTGGTGCAAGTCGTGTATATATATTGTACAAAAATATCACATATATGTACATACGGTGCGTGTAGCGGTGACGTGCGTGCGTGCGTCCTTACACGCACGTAGGGTGTACGACCTTTGCCCGTTTTCCTCGGTAAATTTCCGAAAGTCCTTTACTATATCGGCACCCCATCCTGAAGGGGTACGTCCGAACTACCGATATTAAGATAGAAAAAGATACTGTTTGTATATACATATATTAAATAGTAGATATTTATGTGATTCGTATAATATATAATGCATAGGTGGCCTTACGGCTTTTATATATATATATATATATGTGTGTGTGTGTGTGTGTGTATGTATATACTTGAATTGTAATAAATGTATACTCAACTAAGTTTATAGTTACAATGATGTTTGTCAGTGTGGCGAACTACTCGTATTTTTTTTTTAATATGCGCAAAATATATCGAAAACCCACATGGTCGCATCCACGGTAAAATATCACGTCTACTTTACGACCGACCTTATTGTGTCGTACCGACGTAATATATTGTTTCTTCGAGTCTCTGATTACATAACTTCTAATACATCAGAGTCCACAGTTCTTGGAAAAAAGCCTCGCCGCAGTCAGTGATTGAGATTTAGGGCTGTTTGAACTCTAACCATACCTAATAATATGTTCTGTATAGGTGCGTATATTGCGCACATAATCCACCGTTTTTGTTGGAAACCGTAACTTCCGTCGAGTTAATCGATTTGTAGAAAAATTAACACTCTTTATACAACAACTCTAAAGGTCTAAGTTAGATTAGATTAGTGTTCGATGTAAAAGTTTCGTCAATTATTTGAGACGTCTCCTAAGCGTAGAAATACTCGAAGTTAAGACATTCCAGCTACTGCTACTTTTTAACATCACGATCCACGTTCAATATTTTAACACTGTTTTGAACACAACTAAAATATTATTATAATCGAGTACCTATTCGACGTACACTCTCTAAGATATGGTGCGCTGATGATTGGCATAATTAGCGAAATGACCGTGATACGGACTGTTCGGTATTTTCTACAAAACGATTTAGTTTTATAGCCTTTATACGACGTTTGCCGCCGACATACGTGTCTAGACTTTAGTTTTATACGAAACGCGGGGAAACTAGCGGGACGTTTAGAAGACACCTTATCAATTAAAATATCGTTTCTGAATCCCAAAGGGGTATTGATGGACAATATTGCGTCCGCGGCAAGAAGATACTAGAGAGAACCTAACGGGCTAAATGGTCAAATCAGAAAATCGGAAAAATAAGATAAAAACAACGCGGTCGTTTCGACGTCGAATCCGTCGCGTTTAGACTGCTCGTATCGGAATAATTCGTTGTCGATTCATTTAAAACATGACGGAGCGAGAAATAATGTCAAAAATAAAAACAAAATTCTTTTTTTTTTTAAACGATAGGTCTTGTCAAGAGTTATTCCGATTTACCTGTAATGGAATAATAATATAAATTGCACGTTTCGGTTGGTGAATTAAGTATGCGAGAAAAGAAAATCAACGGTGCGCGGAGCACCATGTGCTGCCGCCAACACGAACAATTTCGATAAATATAATGTCAATGATTTAATTACAAATTGTATTGTTGTAACAATAATGTACTGGAATGCATAAGAATGAGCGTATTACTGACGACCGATAATTATAATTTTATATTTATATGTACAAGGTTAAAACGGTTAGGTTTTTTAAAACGGGACATTAATATTACTATCCCGGTAGATAATTCAATTTTTTTTTTTAAATATATTTACACCGTTCAATGTGCTTATTGATGTGATAAAAAATTCATTACCACGATAACTTTTCTTAGGTTTTTCAATTTTTATCATGTACATGAGATTTTTAAGAAAACATACGCTTTTAAAATCTAATCCGATACACCCAGTGAAATTTATTTATAAAATATACTATTCCGATCAGCTCATAATTTAATAATTAAGAAAAAAAAACTTCTGATTAGATTTTTGCTTTTTAAAAAAAAAAAAATATCAGTATGTTGCAAAATATAATTCTTGAAATTTAAAATTATTACTTTAATAAAAATCAGTAAAAAGTTATTTTTCGCAAAGATCTAGAGTTTAAATTATATAAATAATAAATATACATATACATATATTTTTTTTATTGTAATATCGAAAGTTAATAGAAATTATGATAGACATGTTTTGTGTCAAAAGAAAAGTAATAAAATATAAAATTTTGAATATTTTCATTTTATATTCTGAGTTATTAAAACGTATTGACTAAAAAAATTATCCTTATTAAATACTTAAAAATGATTTTACGACCATTTGAAATACAATTTTTTATATTATATAACCTAGTATTTATTATACACGGTAATTGTTAAAAGGTGTATTTACCGAAGTAACTTTTTGCCATTTTTTTTCTTTTAAAAATAATTTATTTAAATTCTTATTTTTGAAAATTTTTAGCTCTTAAGATCATTTCTTCAAATATTTAGATTTTTGTACCATTTAGGGAATATCTTGTGGCAATTTACTCGTAAATAACCAATGCATTATTTATTAAATGATAATTACTTATCTTTTATCTGTAAATTATTAAGTAGATAATTATTTTTTGAAATTTTTTGATTTTGAATTACAAATTCGAACGAATATTTTATGAATTTATTAATTTTGTATATTAAAAATTGAATTGTACATGATAATGAGAATAAAAACAAAAAATTATGAAAGATATGATAATTTAAAAATTATAATAATTATTCAATCAATTCATTATAATTTTATAATCTAGAAAAATTACCATGTGTAATAAGTACTAAATTACATAGCATAATATATTATTTTCATAACTCATAAGACATAAGGACTCCATAAAAATAATATTTTAGTTTATACATTTAATAATTTAGAATTAAAAAAAAAATAAATATTCAAAATTATAATCTGTTTTACAATTTCTTAGTAAAAAAGTTCTCTTTATTAAGAAAAAAAGGGTTTTACAGTTAGAATTTCTTTAAATTATATAAAAAATGTAAGTATCTATGTATTTAAAAAATGATCTATAAACATAAGAATTTATATCTACGTTGATTATTGAAAGATAAAATTGGGGGCAAGCATATGCTCGGAAAATCACCTTGTTCATAAATTGTATATATTTTGTCGGACAGGTAATGGGATTTGTGAATTTGGTGATGCCCAATTATGGCTCGAATTCATAATAGTCCTATTGCGGTTCCAAATATAAGTATTCCGATTGAGTTTGAACACACATTGATTCGCAAAATAACATATCTGCGTATAAATAAAATAGGTAAAATAAAAAAAATTATTGAACTTGTTCAACACATCATTATTTAAATATTAACATATACAGTTAAGAAAAAATTAATAATACAACTAATTCTTATAGTAGTATAAATTATTAGTGTATTTAAAAATATATTTTTTATGAAGAAAATCAGTTATATATATTCAAATGTCTTGATAGTATTAGATATATTATAATTTAATATTATACATCATAATGAAATTAATAAAATGTGTGTAAAAAGAAATGATATAGGTTGATTTTTATAATTCGTTATTTAAAAAAATTCAAAATCACATTTATTTTTTGTTTTATTGGCTTTAATTTGTTAGAAAGCACCATTCGTGCTAAATACGTACTTGCTCTTGTGAA